TCCAGATTAGCCATCTCAGTATAGTGGACTTACCCCCCCTCCCATTCCTTATTATCGTATATCTTGTTTCCTCTTATCACCCCTCCATAGAAAAGAATGCACAATACGCATGGATATCACTATTCTACCAACTTATCACATTTCCGGGCTCTCCCTGGGATATTTCATTCGTCGTTCTGTTGCCACAGCTGTTTTGCCACGGCTGGTGACACAGCACGGTCAGTGCGAATGGGTGCTCCGGCCACTATTTCCCCTCCTGGCGCTGCTGTGTTTCCTCGGTCTCAGAGGACAATGAGTCTTCTGCAGCACTGCCTCAGTGGGGATGTGTAAGGGGATTTGCAATCTATCCTGTTTGCGGATCGTCTAGCTCGAAATTGAATCGGAGCACCCCGCCACCTCCATTTTGGCATCCATGTCAGTCGGGTGCTTTCCTTGCACACAACCCTTTCAATCTCCAGCATTTGGTGCTGCCCGTTGGAGATGGATCGACTCCCATTTTTTGACGTGACCCAATTGGAGCTGTTTCCCCGAGCTGGAAATGTTTCTATCACTTGTACAATCGCGTTGTTTCCCATTTCGTGCCACAATGCTGCTAACACTACCTGTAAATTAATGTAGATACGCCGGAAGAATTAGCCCCAACGAACTATGTCCGACCAGCAAATGAATCCCACAGACGGAACGACGGCCTCCAATAAGCGAAAGCGTGAAATTATGGACCCTGGCGACGGACAGCGTATGACACGCTCTGCCCATGGGCAAAGCTCCAACGGGAATCTCCATGGTTCGTTCGCATGCAGACACACCTTCAACCATCTTGCCACATTCAAATAGCTACATGGCAAGTAACTAACATTGTCCATCCATCAGGATACGACACCCATGGCCTGCCCGCCAACACAACTGAGCTCAGCCAAATCGATCAACAGCTCTTACAGCATGTAGGAAATCAGAATGGGGTGTCTGACGACAACGCCATGACAGCCAAGGCTGCTTTGGCCGCACACAGCCCACAGTCCAAATACCCTCCGCCAGATCCAAGCTTCGAGAACAACGCCGCGATGGCCCACAGTCTCACGTTCCCCGAGGATGTTAACCAAGTTCCCATGACCAACGTGCATGGCCACTCGACCGCTGTCGTCCGTCTATGCGGCGCGCGAGGCTCAGAATATCAACCCAAAACCAA